GCTCACAATAATAATAAAAAAATTGCAGCACCCACTTTGCCTTTGCAGTCTTTTGGGGAGTGGAAAGACTGCAGTGCCCACACTAGATCCAAGGAGACTCACCTTGAGTTAGGAGTGCAGCCAGAAGGAGGCTGAGGCTGGGCAAAGTTGCCATGCTGGTGGGTCCCATAATTTGCAGATCCGTAGACTCTGAGGAGGACGCATCTTGAGTGGGAGTATTTATGCTGGACCAGTTACATAAGGATGAGGGAGTGAGTAGTTGGTTTGAGAAGCACTTAAAACTCTTGGGCAGCCCCCATCTGCTCTCTTCACAGCTGACTTCCTTGTCTGTTGATGGCCTCAAGGGAGCCCTTTGTGTGCCAGATGGTGTCTTCCCTTTGCCAAAGAGAGCACAACCAACTTCATTTTCTGAAATGCCTCTTGTGTTTGGCAAGGGAGGGGAGCCAAGGTGTTGTGTTTCAATTGATGGAATACAAAAAGAAAGCAAGAGAAAGAGGAATGCTTTCTTATCTAACATCTAAAAGCCACTTTACATTTTGTTGAGAGCGAATGGCCCCATTTGTGGTGGGACCAAGTCCCAGTCATCTAAATTTTCACTGCAGTCTGGCCCTGGGGAACAGCTTTCTGCATGCCAAGATTGCGGTCATTCAAAACAGCCTCTTCAAATTCTCTTTATTCCAGGAGCAACAAAGTGTGTGTGTGTAAGGGGTGGAGGTCCATTGTGAATCTGGGGGAGAGCAGGCTTCTTAGCAGTAGTTCCTGGAGCTCGGAGTCTTCCTCAAAGGCTTTTGTTTTCAAGAGCTTGGCCACTATTTTGCATCCTGATGACTGGAAAATTCTGGAGTTGTGGTCTCTGCATCTGGAAGATGCCAAATTGGAAATGGCTAGTGTAACCACAGCACAATGGCTTCTTTAACTGCCCATAGGGCAGATGGAACTCATCACTTTTCCCATGAGTTGAAAAGGTCTAGTTTACAAAGAACCTCTGGGTATCTAAAACTTTGCTGTGCTCTTAACCAACCCTGAAATGGCTCAACATGCTATCAATAGCATGGGCAGCAAAACAAACCCAGTTCTTAAACAGGGAAGCTAGAGATTTCAAGAGTTTGTCTACAAACTGAAGAGCCTTAACACTGACTTCTGAGCAAAGGTGTGTGTTTCTGGACCAGTACCAGAGAGGAAGCAATGTTACTGGCCACATCAAGAAATTAAATTAGATGCTCTTCTCAGACTTGAGTGTTTGTGAAAGGATGTGAACCCCCAAAGATCTAAACATCAATGATGAGGAAATATTATGAATCCTACAGTGGGGCATGATCAGATCACAGCATCCCTCTTAAGCTGCAAACCACGGTGTAATGATGGACAACTGGGTTCACACAGTATGCTAAACCCAAATGAAACAAACCACATTATGGATTGTTACCCTGTAACAGTTTTAAAGGCACTCTTGGCTATCATCAAGAATGTGAAATCCAGAAGGACTTCCAAGCTATGACCTAAATCTATCTTGTCCAGATGTTTGGAAGGGGAGGGAGGAGTCAGGTTTTGAAAGACTGAAACCAGCTGATGTACAACTATGATGTCCGCCATCCTTTTCCAACCAGGCAACCTTCAGATACGTTGGATTCCAACTTCCATAACAATCCACTTATTTTTTTTAATCCAACATTGCCAGGATCAGGATGGTGAAACATATATAATAAATCATTTTTCTGTTCCTATGGCAGTGTTTCTCACTCTTTTCAACTGGCTGGGGAATTCTGGGAGTTGAAGTCCACCCATCTTAAAGTTGCCAAGGCTGGGAAACACTGCTCTATAGAATTCTTTTTTCAAAGGGTAGGATTATTTTTATTACTAAATAACAAACATGCAATAGTAGATTAATAACCTGACTCATACAAATGATGCTTTGCTACTTCTGTTAATAATCATTCATTTTTTAAGCAATGTTACTAATTCTCTTTTTCAGAAATAAGGCCTGGGCTATTTTACTTCCTCCACACTAGTAATTTATCTCAACACTGAATGGTTACAAAGAGTTAGGTTGGAAATCCCTCTTAGTGTTTTTCAGACTTGGCCACTTGAAGATGCGTAGACTTCAACTCTTAGAGTTTTCCAGTAAGAGATGCTGGCTGGGGAATTCTGGGAATTGCAGTCCACATACCTTAAAGTGGCCAAGTTTGAAAAACACTGTTGGAATTCGAAAAAAGGCCGCGAGATCGCATGCGCAGAAGCGAAGCCCAAGCAAAAGACCGCGCAACGGCGCGATCGAAAGGCGCGGATCTGAGCATGCGCCACGAGTTTCAACCGCGGACCCTCCTCGGTCTGGCTGCACGGCGGTTAGAAGACGTCGATCTGAGTTTGCGCCATAGAGAGGTCCTCCGCAGTAGAGGAACCATAGAGGCGAGCGGCGATGAGCGTAGAGCGCCTGCTTCCGGCGCTTATCGGAGTTTTGCTGCCGGGTGACGGCGGTGGCAGAAAGTGGCGGGGCAATGCCGGAGATCGAGATCCGACATGTGGTATCTGCGAGCAGCTCCGACACGGTAGCGTGGCCTTCTTGGGGGCGGCGGCGTCCGCTTGGGGAAGAAACCAGCGGGGGGACGGAGCTGTTAAATCGAGCCGTGGAGGCAGCCATTCTTAGGCAGGGGGTAGTCAGGCATGGGGGCGGTGGACCCTGGAAGAGCCTCCCGGTGGCTTCGGGGAAGGAGGAGGCGTGCAGACGGTGCAGACTCCCTTCGGCGAGGTCGTGACTGCGTGCCCACGATGCCTAGGCCAGGCAAAGCGAGGATGGCTGCTTTGGGCTTCAGCGTGTGGGGGGAGCCCAGCAGTGGTCGCCAGGAGGGGTGGGAACCTGGCCATTGCCTTCAGCTATAACCTGGTTGATTGGTTTGAGCATCGAGCCACTGTGTTCCGCTCACCTGGGTGTAGGCTTTGGTATGTTGGGTGGACCCAGCCAGAAAGAGACAGAGGAGAAGAAGAAAGAGGGTGTCATAAGATGAAAAAAGGGGTGTCAGCGAGAAGGAGGCTGGGTTTGCGCAAGGCATTTTCACCGGAATGGGGTAGGGGCGTTCCTTTTTGCAGGAACCTGGCCATTGCCTGTTGTGTGAAGTAGGCCATTGCATTAAGCCAGAATAGGATTCATCTGTTCAGGCATTGTGGGTTATGTGAATTGGGCAGTGTTTCTCAACCTCAGCAGTTTTAACTGGCTGGGGAATTCTGGGAGTTGAAGTCCACACTTCTTAAAGCTGCTGAGGTTGAGAAACTCTGGAAGAGAGCAGTGGTGTTTTTGGATGGAAATGTGTTGGGTGAACTCAGCCCATGCCTAAGACAACTGGGGAGGAGAGGGGGAAAAGAGGATAAGAAGGAGTGAGGAAGGGATGAAGAAGCAGCTGTGTGGACAGGAGGATTATTTTCTGCCATTGATTTAACCTCTTTTCCTATCCCCAGGCTCACTGTGCTGAGAACCTGCTCAAGGCTGACACGTATCGCAAGTGGAAGGCTGCCCAGGCTGGGGAAAAGCAAATCTCTGTCATATTACAAGTGAGTTTCTACTAGTCCCTGGGTGAAATCAGTCCCAAATGCTTGCTGCAATTGTTGTAAACGAGGAAAGAATTTGGGAAGCACTCCTAGTATGACAAATTGCTGCAGGAATATTTATACAGTTAGAAACTTGTGTAGGTGTGTGTGTGTATACATGTACATATATATATATATATAGAGAGAGAGAGAGAGAGAGAGAGAGTGTCCTACGAAGAAGTAAAAGTAAATAGGCTTCAGAGTAAGAAATCATTTTCAGGTAGTATTTGGAAATCTTTCTTCATAATTCTCCTCTTATAATGATTGTAGTTGATGAGGGTTCTGCAGTGAATTTCTCATACTGTATGCTTAACCATCCACCAGTCTCCTGAAAAATAGCAAAATTAGCTACTGTCATGATGTTACAAAGGGTAGCAGCTGACAAAAAGGAAAACATTGCTATCTTGGAGAATCACTATCAGTCAAATTGGATAATAATGAACTTGGTCCTGATTTAGTATAAATATATATGTATTTGATGTTAGCATGGCTCATCATACATGGTCGGGACATATTTGGTTAAATCAGTATCAGTTTGTAAGACCTGGCCCTATAGGATTCCTTTCCTGCATTTTCCATAATTCTCTCCTGTTCTGTCCCCCTACAGTTTGAAAAAGAGGAACAGATTCACAGTATTGATATTGGCAATGAAGGCTCTGCCTTTGTGGAAGTGCTGGCTGGCAGCTCTGCCTCTTCCAGTGAGCAGAACTACGAGGTGAGTGAACTGGGGGTGGTTCTGAGAGTTCCCATCATAGTATGGAAGTGATACCTTCTGTGAAGCTGATGTCTTCAGTGAAGGGGGTTCAGTGCTATTTCCTTTGTTGCTTTTGAATATGTACAGTCACAAATGGTGGGATTCCAGCAACGTAAACCAACTAACATTTGAATTCAGGTATGTGTGGCTCTTTACAAGCTGTCTGCTGAGCAGTTTAGGCAAAACACTAGAGGTACAAGAGGTTAAGGGTGGATTTCCTCCGAACCCTGCTCTCCCTCTGTATTTAATGTTTGTGTAGTGATTTTTCCTGTGTATGAAGTTTCCATCAAGAGCCCAAATTCTGATTTGATGTTCTTTTGCTTGCACTCGGGCTGTTTGGGGAGGAGTCTTCTGAGTTAGACCTGGAATTTAGTAAGAGATATATTTTTTAAAAAGTTTGCCTCTTGATCTCCACTCTAGCGCTTTCCATTCCACCTCAGGTGCTGTTGGTTACATCCTCCTTCATGTCTCCCTCAGAGAGCAAGAATGGCACCAACTTGAACAGAGTCCGTATGTTTGGGTCAGATAAGCTGGTGAAAGCTACAGCTGAGAAGAAATGGGACCGAGTTAAGATTGTTTGTACCCAGCCATATACCAAGGTTTATATTTTGGAGCACACACAAAGAAACAAAATATATGGGATGCTGGTCATAGTCTGCCTTGGACTCCTGCATTTATTTCCTACTCAGAGACTTCATAGGGAGCTGGTATTTTTTTAGTGTACTTTTTAGCATCTCTGTGTTTGGTATCTGTCAAATGGGCTCCATGCCTCCTTATATTATAGCTGCACTTTGAAGCTGAGATAATCACCATTTTCTATATGAGAAAACTGAGAAGTAGATCTCAGGTAGTTTTGATGATTATTTATCTGGCAAAAGAAGTTGTGAATATTAATTTCTTCTAAGTGAGATCCCAAATTTCTGGGTACTCCTTGTCTGGAGGTGAAACCACAGAAGTTCACATTTATATCTTTGGTATGTTTCTAAATGAAGGTCCGTAGATAGGGGGCATTAGCCAAATGAATTAAAATCTGGTTGATCCTTTTTTTAAAAAAATACCATTATCCTATGAATGTTTATTCAGAAATAAAGCTCACTGAGTTCATTGAGATTGATTCCCAAGTACATAAAAGTGAATTACAGCTTTACTTGTGGGTGAAGTTCTCACAAAAGAGCACTTAAGCTCCAGGACAGAAAAAGGCAACGGTTTTTAGCCATTTATATTAAGGAAGAGTGTCTCTAAGGGATGCAGTCTCTTGTCCATGAAGAGGAAATTGCAAGCTCTCAATAGGTCAGACCTTCCTGTTGACTTACTAAGCCCATCTAGGAATCCTCCAGATGGATGGATTTCAGTTTCCAGATTTCTCAGGAGTCGGCAGTTGTAGAAGCTGAGGTCCCCATACTTGCACAGTGCCCCGGGATGGCTATAGTAAGGTTTGTCTTACTTGCTCCTACCATTTATTAGCCACTCCTAGGTTTATCAGGCTTCTGTTACAGAGCTGGTTTCTGTCCCAGCTTTGGAGGGGATGTGGTCTGTAATTAGAGAAGGCAGCTGCATGCACAGAATGACAACTGCTTAGGGTGGCCTGACTTGGTAAATCTGAATGCTCTTGCTCACTTCTCTCTTCAGTCTTTGGCTTACGGCCTTTCCTTCGTGAGGTTCCACTCTCCTCCAGACAGCAATGAGGTGCATTCCAAAATGGCTTCACCGGTGAGTATCCCCTGATGTATGTGACCCATTCCAACTTCTGCGATCCTGTACTTTATTGCTCTTCTTTAACAGAATCTGGATATCTCATTCTCTTTTTGTTCCGCCTGCATCAGAAGCTTACCAAATTGGGCCAATTTAAGGTGAAGGATGATGACAGCAACTCTAGCTCCTTGAAACCTGGTGCTCTGTTCTTCAGCCGTGCCAATAAACCCCTGGTCTCCCCTCCTAAAGGTAACTCTCACAAGTCTTATCCCACCTAAAGGTAGTTGGAAGATCACAGTTACTATTTATCATCCAACCAACAGGAGGCAATAGTCTTTCTCTGTTATTCCTTAGAAGCTGATATTAGGTGAGATTCTGCCCTTGCAAGTAAAGACTCGATCAGCACTAATTGCCATTATCAAATAGGATCTGATAAAGTGAGATCTGTTGCCTTCTTCCTTGGTCATTCTTGAAATGAAAATCGTTAAGTTGAAAGTGTCAGTTCTAATGTTTTATCTACTCTTTAGTGTCTGCAATGTTTTCTGCATGTATAGGTATCCACACTGAGGCTGGTGATGATGATGATAATGATAATTATTATTCTTGCAGCCTCCCAGAATAACCAGCCTTCACCCAGTTATGCTGCCGCCTCATTGCAGACCAGCAAATCTCTCTCTCCTGACTCTTCACCATCAGCAGTGGAAAAGCCCACCACCAAAACCTCACCCAAGGTGAAGAAAATGAAAGCCACATACATGGGTGGGCAAATGGTCACGTTCCAACCTTTTTCTTTCCCTAAAATGCTATTCCGCACCCTGGCACCCTCCAGTATTTTCGTTGCAGCATCCAGAATTTCCAGCCAGACACATTAGAAAGGTTACAAATTGGGGACATGGATGAACTATAGCAATGTTTTTCAAACTTGGCAACTTTAAAATGTGTGGACTTAACTCCCAACTTCCCATGCTGGCTAGGGGATTCTGGGAGCTGAAGTTGACTCATCTTAAAGCTGCCAAGTTTGAAAAACCCTGATGTGTATCTCTGCTTCAGATGTGCATCGTACCTGTAGATCAACAAGCAAACCTTAAAACACCCTTTGTGGTAGGGGCCTGAAAAGCCCTGGACTCTTTTCCTTTATACTTTGCCTGATTCACCTGCAGCCCATAGCCTCTGAAAGATTGTCTACTTTTTTGTAAGGGAAACCCAGGTTATTCCTCATATTGCAGATGGAAGGCATTGGGTAAGATACAGACTAAGAAATAGTAGTTGGGTTTATATGTTTTGTGATGCCCTAACCTAATTCATTTAGTTCTGGCTTTGTGTTGCATGAACTCAACCAGTAGTGACTTATTCAACAAACGGGTAGCTAGGCAAAGTATGGCTTAGTGAAATGTGCAGTCTTAATCAGTGACTTCTCTAAGGGTTTCTAATAAGTTCATATTAGAGGAAAGGCTTGAGTGGTGGCCTTTCTGATTCACAGCTTATCTGATATGCTGCACCAGCTATTCTGTGCCTTTAACATGAACAGCGAGATGTTTCATTAGATCCCAGTCTGTATAACAGACTGCTGCTAAGGAAGCAGGAGCAATTGTCAGGCATGAAAATAGAACCAAGAGGAAAGAATTAACTCTGCCTCTTCTAATCAGAAGACAAGACTTCAACTGTTGCTAACTGATAGAGGAAGCCCTCCCTCTTGGCCCTACTTTCTGCAGGCTTTTTCCCCTCAGTTTCATATCCAAGCTGAGCAAGAAAAATAAATACAGGTAGTCCTCATTTAATGACCACTCGTTCAGCGACTGTTTGAAGTTAGATAGCACTGAACAAGTGTACTTATGACTGGTCGTTGTAGTTGCAGCCATCGCAGCGTCCCCACAGTCACATGATTGCGATCCAGGTACTTGGCGACTGGCTCGCGTCTACGATGTTGCAGCATCCTGTGGTCATGTGGTTGCCATTTGCAACCTTCACTGCTGGCTTTTGACAAGTAAAGTCAGTGGGGAAGCCAGCAGGAGGTCGCAAATACTGACCACATGACATCACACAAGTCCCTTAATGACGGCAACCAGAAGTGCTGGAACTGCCGTTGCTAAGTGGCATGGTCATGTGACATCGCGCTTAATAACAGAAATTCCAGTCCCAATTACCATCATTAAGCGAGGACTACCTGTACTTCCATTCCAGGATCTGCTGTATTGCCTCTCTAGACACATGAGCAAAGTTCATCCATGGATTGGAGCAGCATTATGGCTCCTAGAATTAGTTATGGCCAGACTAAGGGATCCTTACAATACAAGCCTATATCTGATTTGTCTTAGAGGTAAATCCTATAAAGTTGGGAGGGGCTTCTATCCAAGTATCTTAGTATTAGCTGCAGCCTTAGTTTTGTTCTCTTTGCAGGAACCCACACCAGTCAAAAGGAAGTCTGAGTTCAGCAAAGAAAATGCTGGTCTCCCATCGGCAACTAAGAAAGCTAACCCTGATAAATCTCGCGTTACACACCCACCTTCAAAAAAACACAAAGGTGTGTGAAGAAAGGGGGAAACTTGCAAGTGGATATTTCATGCAGTACATGATTATTTATTTATTTATGTGTGTGTGTATCTAATCAATGAATTTGTGTGGCCACCCATGTCAACAAGTGACTCTGGGTGATGAACAGTATTAAAATAAAATTAAAGCAATTGCACAGGTAATAGCTCCGAGCATGAATATTTTGGGCACATTACTTTCTTGAAGCTGGATTTCTAAGCACAGACTTTGGGTAGAAAGGAATATCTTATGGTTGCATCTGATTTTGAGTAGTTTACATCGAAGAATAAGCAATGATTTGTGCCTACCTTCTTCATCTTAATTAACTTCTGCATTTTTTTTTTTTGGCTGATTTGCAGTTTCTCTCTCCACGTCTCCTCCCCAGAAGACGCCGCCTTCCAAAAAAACTCTGCCAGTGCAGTCTTCGGAGGAGACAGCAAATGGGTCTTTCCAGCATCTCCTACAGGGTACTGTGTTCGTGCTGAGCGGTTTCCAGAACCCCTTTCGCTCTGAATTAAGGGACAAGGCCTTGGAGATGGGGGCCAAGTATCGTCCAGACTGGACCCCTGACAGCACTCACCTCATGTAGGTGTCCTGTACCCAGTTGATCTGCCCTCCTAAAGCATTATACTTGTTTTTTTTTTAATTCCTTAGAAGTTAAGCCAGTGGAATCTCAAATGCTCTACTCAGGGAGCCCAAGACCTCAGCTTTGTTTTTGGTAGAAAAAGAACTCAAAGAGACCCCAAATGTTGGTGCTGTAAGCATTAGAAAGAAGGAGTTATTTCCCTATTGGTGTCTTCACCAAAATGATCAGAGCGTAGCACGCATCTGTGGAAGTTTCCAGTTTCAAAACTGCCGTAGCAAACTAAGACATGGACATCCATGGGGCCAGTAACTTGTGTATCATAACATAAATGACATGAGTCACATGAGTCAGATATGATGATGGAAATACTAGGTTGCATCCTTCGTGCAGTAATGCCTAGATGTCTATGTTGTTGCTTTGACATCTGCACAATTGGTTATGGATACCCTGAACTAAGAGCAGATGGAGGACTTCAGTTTTTGAGTGGGCAGTTCCCATTTATGGCTGCCCAAGATTATGTCTGGATAAATTTGCTGGAACTTACTCCCCAGCAAGTTTGCTGCCTCAGCGCCCTTCCTTTTGCATTGCTGTCTAATGGTCAAGATCTCTCCCGGTGCTGCTACTCTTTCATGCTGGTGCCTGATGGATTACAATGGATCTCTCAGTGCTGAGTGACTCTGCTTCTCCTTCTATAGCTGTGCCTTTGCCAACACCCCCAAATACAGCCAGGTGAAAGGGCTCGGGGGCACCATTGTGCGCAAGGAGTGGATCCTGGACTGTTACCGCACCCGGCGGTGCTTACCCTGCAAACAGTGAGTTGTCAAGGGGAACAGCATCTGGGTGGATTCTAGTCTAGCTTCATTTCAGATTATAACGGGCAGGTTCCCTTTCCCAGGTACCTGATGGGTGGCCCTGACTCTTCCAGCAGCGAACAGGAAGAGGAGAGCGAGGAGGAGACCTCAACTCCACATCACAGACCTTCGGCTCCTCAACAGGTTGGCTGGATCGGTTTGTTTTTCTGATTTTTCAGTTATTGTGGTATATGGTGAGTTTCATTGTAGGTTTTTCTTATCTGATTTGGTTATTGTTTTGCAACCTGGACATTAGTGGAATCTGATGAGATTGTAATCCTCTAAGAGTGTTTTGACTTTGGCAGGAAGAAATTAAAAATAATCAATAAATATCAGAGTTTAATGACAAAGAAGTGTTGTGTTCAAGGAACAACCCCTGCCCAATCAAGTAAACCATATTATGGCTTCAGTTAATAGTCTAGTTCACTCAGTGTGCTCAGAAAACAGCTGGTTTCCTTAACATGCTGAAGCAGAAACTATCTTACCTTATTTTAGCCTAACCTGGTGTTTTGTGTGAACCCAAGTAAAATGTAGCACCTTGGTTCATCTGCAGGGGGCTTCCTTTTGTTTGAATAGAGTGTCTTTGTTCCTTGCGACTAATCTAATACTTAATTTGTGTCTGTTTAAAAAAATAGGGTTCAAGCTTTAATCCTGTATTTTCCTCCTGTCTTTTATATATATGTTGGGATATTCCTCACTGGGACTGGGTTCATGCACTGCATTGTACCACAATTGGATGAATTCACATAGCATGCTAGGCCACAAACCATGCTTTATAACCCACACTGGCAATGGCTGGGTTCACACAGCCTGCTGAGCCCAAAGTAAAGGAACCAAATTGCATCTTGGTATGTTGTATGACTTCAGATCAGGAGTTGAAGGGCACAGGTTAGGGAAAGTTGCTTTCATCAATCAATTAGCCAATTACAGTGTCTCAGATACCTTTCTCAACTGTATAAAAATCCTCCCCAACTAACAGAGACAGCCTTTAAAGGATATGCAACTGCCTTTATAAAATCACCTGAAAAGGAAAACAGTAGCTACCTTAGAAGAGGAATTTCCCCCCTTGTGGAGGGGGGTTCCTCTTCTAAGGGAACAGGGGAATGCCTCTTCCAGTATGACTTCATCCGCAAAACACACAGCATCTTAAGCTGCTCAGCTGTCTTTGAGTCATTCAGATGGGGGAATAGAGACCTTGAGGCCTATGTGTGGGGTTTCATTTCCAGCTTGAATTACATCGAAGTCATTAAATCCAGGCGCTTTGCCATGGATTAGCCAAACCGCTTTGCTGTGTAGCCTTCTAAAATGGCAAGTTGCTGTGGCAAGTTTGGCTTCCTCTTTGCCCCTGTCATTTGAACCTTGTCTTTCTGCGCCAGAGAACCAGCGTGCCCAGCCCCAACCACAAGGTTACACCTGCCACCAGCCTCAAATTGATGCAGGCAGTGCCACCAAGGGTGTCTTCTGAGGAAGAGGAGGAGCCCACCACCTCTCGAAACAGCAACATCCACAACAATTCAAGGGCGTCCAGCGAGGATGAGAAATCCACAGGTAGAGTGGACCATAGTTTTGGGGTGGAGGGGAATGTTCTTCCCCACAGAATCCTTTGGAGTTGGCAGGAATGAGGCTGGTGGTGAGTTGGGCACAGATGGGTGAGACCAGAATTCAGACGCCTCTCTGTCCTCCCTGTGGGGGTTGTTGGGGAGGCTCGTGAAGGATTCTTGCTTCTCTGGGCCACTAGTCAGCCATCCTCTTTCCACCATGATCAGAACAGTTTACCCTGGAAATTGACAGCAGGGACATAAAAGAGATTGCTGATTTATCCTTTCTCTCTTCCTGCTGTCTCTTAGGTCTTCAAGGCAATGGAGATGAAGGCTCTGGTGACACAGATGATGAGTTGAGGAGGTTGGTCATGTGATACCTGTTGTGGTTGATCCTTCCTTAAGCCAAGATGGTCTAGGGAATGGGAAACCATGTGATTATTTGCTTAAAGGGCCTTCAGTTATGCCTTAGGTACAAACAATGTTAGCAAGTGAACAAGTATGGGGAACTCGTGGGGGATTACTGGAGATTAGTGGGAAGAGAAAGGAAGCTGTAATTTAAGGGAAAACACTCATTCGTTGAGTCAGCAAAAAGCTTTTCAGATATCAAGTGTACAGTCCTTCCTGATTGAGATGGGGATAAATCAGATGAATCAGTCAATCGATCAATGTAGTTTCTGTGCTTTTAACAGAGCTTGCCCTCTTAGATTCTGTGGGTTGAAGCTGGAAGCTTTTGTGTTGTGATGGGTCAGTTAGCCAAGTCCATTCTCAAAACTGATTCCGTGTCTCCTCTGGCTTAGAGTTGAAGAGGAACACCGCAAAAGGCAGCAAGGGGGACGGAGGCTTGCCCCCGAACCAGACCACGACCCCTATGCTGGTTCCACAGATGAGAACACAGATGTTGAGGAGCAAGGAGAGCCAGATCAGCCTATCCCAGAACTGCCAGGTTTGTCTAAACTGATCTGATACAAGGTTTGGTTTTTGTTTTACTTATTTTTTCTTAATCTAGGTTCTAGTCTGTGAATCAGTCCACTAAGCTTTAGCCAGATAATCTGTATCTAATAGTTATAGTGTGTATCTTGAGAGGCTCTTTGTTTCTTCTAAGTGAGGATGAACATGCTTGTAAAAGTGAGCTTTTATTTTAAGAATTAGCGATTCATAACCTCAAAAAGACACTTGCGTTGAGACTAAATTGAAATGTATTTAGCTTAGCCAGTTGGACTGTCTAATAATTAATAGTAACAGCCTTAGCTTTTCCTGGCCTAAGGAAATGAAGATAGAAAATGGGGCATAGCTTATTTCTTGACTTGCTAATAAAGGTTTTTTTGGGGGGGGGGAGTGTCTTGGATGTGATCAGACCTATGGATCTGATGATTAGAGAGCTAATGGGGTATGTTTGGGTTGTCCAGTTTTCATTCCACTTCTTCAGGAACTTTGCCCTTTCCTTTCCAGATCTGTTTGGGGGCAAATGCTTCTTCCTTTATGGTGAATTCCCTTTCCAGGAACGACGCCTCTTGAATCGCTACATCGTAGCTTTTAATGGGTGAGTTTTACAAGAACATTGTTGTAGGGGTCTCCCAAATGTGATGCTGCATTATAATTTGGGGAAATAACCAATTCTCCCTCCCCCAGAGGGAGCAGGGAGGTTTTAAGCTTTGGTGTAATAAACCAATGTTGTTTGGTTTGGTCAATTTCTTTGACTCAATTTTACAAATTAAGATTCTCTTTTTTTAATAATAATAATAATAATCCCAAAACATCTGGGGCACCACTTGAACATCATTGGCATTGATAAAATCACCATCAGTCAATTGCAAAAGGCAGCTTTACTTGGAACAGCTTCCATCCTGCGATGATACCTTTAACACTATCAAACAACATCTGTCTATCCCAGGTCCTTGGGAAGGACTCGATAGGTGGATAAAAATGCCAAATGCAGTCTAAACATCTGGCTGACTGTGCGACCAACCATAATAATTCTATAGTGATAGGAGGAACCGTGGTAATTTATCCCTTGAATTGTCTGGCATCTCAGTCTTGTACAAATATTTCAAGTTTTTTGTGAGGGACAGTGGAAAAAAAAGTATCACAGTGGAATTGTATATGAATGCATTGAATGCAGTGATTCTCCACATTAGCAACTTTAAGATGTGTGGACTTTAACTCCCAGAATTTCCCAGTCAGCATCCTGGCTGGGGAATTCTGGGGATTGAAGTCCACATTTCTTAAAGTTGCCAAGATTGAGAAACACTGCAGTAAAGCTTTTAAAGGCTTTGTATTATATGCAGAAAGGTGCCTGTTGAATGTTGGGTATATTTGTGTGTGTAATATGTATATGCATATGTATATATGAATTCATTTTGCAAATTCATACATCCACCCATCTTAATCAAGTAACTCTGGCAGCTAACAAAGCATAAACCAGAAACATACATACTGTATAAAAACAGTTAAAAAAAAAACTGTAGAAGATGCCAAGAAAAATATTCAACTCCTCACCCAAACTGTCAGCAGATCAAAACATACAGATTGGATTTCACTACCATCCTGGCCCTAAAGCCTCTGGGAAGAATGAGGCTTTTAAAATTTTCTAGGAGGCTGACAGTTGGGATAATCCAAACTTCATGGCAGAGTTTGTTCCACAGGGCAAGTGCTGTGACTGAGAAGACCCACCTCCTAGGTCCCATAAGACAACATTATTTTACAGAAGGGACCTGGAGCATGCTCCCCCTGCCCGATCTGATGGGACAGGCAGGAACCACCAGAGACAAGTACTCCCTACATAATTATAGGGAGAAGAAATGGAATTAAAAATGGCCCTGTTTCTGAATATTTTCTCTTACAAGGGCTGGCATTGAAATGGCTTACCTTTGCTGCTCTAGGCTTGATGCCAAGCCAACTCTGTTGGAAAGGCTTTGTGTCCTTGATGACTTCTTGTCTCTAGAGAAAAAGAGAATTCTCTCTAAAGAGCGTACTTCTTGACTGCTTGCAGGGAGGTGGAGGAGTATATGAACGAGCGCGTCAACTATGTGATCACGGCTCAAGAGTGGGATGACACATTTGATGAGGTGAGCTAGCCGCTTCAGGGAATTAGCCCTGAAGAACAGATCTTCCAATTAATAAGAGCGATAGGAAGATGTATGCAGTAATTCTGAAGATCTTTGATGAATTATCAAATTTACATTGAGCCGGATACCCAATCTTCTGGCGGCTAGGAGCTGCACTTATTTGTTATGGGGAGGAGGTAATGAGCAGGGCTGAATCATGTTTTTTCTTCTTTGGAGGTGTCTGTGTCTTTGTGTCTTTCAATAGTTTTGGGCTTATGCTTTAATTTCCATGTGGTTCCAGCTTCAAAATGATGGGGAGTTATGTTCACGAGTGCAGTGAAGAGACCTCCATGGTGTGTGGAAAAAGAGCTTGGGTGTTGAAAGTTACTGACATTATTCTTATATGGCCCCATAAAACAGTCCCAGTTTTTATTACTGCATTCCTCTGTGGTGGTCTCCCATCTTTCCAACTTACACGAGGAGAGTGTATCATTCCAATACTGATCTGGGCTAAGTTAAGCTGAGAGAGAGAAAGAGCATTCATTGCGGAGTCACCCACGGGGCTTGAGGGCTTAATCTCTCTCATTTTCTCAGCCTCTTATAGAATTGTTGAAAGGAGAAAAGAAAATGGGATGGGGATAGGGATAGGGAAAATTTTGGAGGACTCTCCTTTCTTTGAACAACTTGGAGGCCTCAAAGGTCATACCACCACACTGTACTGGCTCTGAGTTGGTGCCTGAGATGAAGTTTCCAAATAGGGATGTGGTGGGAGGAGAAGACTATTAATTTGAATGCTGTATTAGCCAGCCCCAGCAGTCTGTCTACAGATGGGCTGGCTTTTGCCATTTTGAGCAGAGCAGAGGCTGTTGATGGTCTCTTTACTGGTTTTGGCTTCAGGCTCTGAACGAGAACCCCAACCTGTCCTTTGTGCGTCCCCGTTGGATCTACAACTGCAATGACCGGCAGAAGCTGATTCCCCACCAGCCGTACGTCGTCGTGCCACGAGCATAGGAGAATCCCTGCTGGAGTTTGTATATAATGTATAATCGCCTCTCTTTGGGAAAGACCCTTTGCCTCCTGGCTAGTGGAAATAGGGCACTCTTGCTGGAGGGGTGGCCTTCCTTCTAAGGGCCTTTCCCCGCCCTCCAACATTGCTGTGGTTTGGATGGTCTTTGGTTGCATTTTTTTCACCCTGTCGCACCAGATCATGTTGGAAGCCAGTGTGCTTTTGGAAAGCAGTGTGTGTTGTGGGCTGCTGTGGCACAGGCCCAGCGTCATCTTCCAGGATGGAGAGAGAGCTCCCTTGACATTAGGGCCCAGAGTTGAACAAAGAAAGAAGTTGATGTACAGACACAAATTCACATACATCTTCCACGCCTTTGTATTTCTTGCCCTTCTCACTACCCTTTTTGGTATTTGTGGTCGCCTTTCTCTTCTTCATCTTCCCATGGCATTGTAGAGGTGTGTTCTTGCTAAGTATTCTTGCCTCTCCCTGCAGAAATGTATTTCTTCGTACACTCGGCCTCTAGAGCAGCAAACCTATTCTGCTAGCAAGTTGCTCGGGGTTTTACAGAAGAAAAGCCTGCGCGTTTGTCACTCAAGATGGATCACGTTTTATCGTGTTAGAGATGGGACTTGTCCCATCGTTGGTGTAGGTAAACCTCCGTTTGTTGACCGCACAATCTGCAGACCAAGCCAAGCCCATTTTTAAAACGCAGAGCGTCACAAATCGGGTTCATGCCTTCCGCTTGCACATTTTTCAGAAAAAAACATCCATGAAAAGTAACTTCCCCCAACCCCCACCCCATACTGGCTCATGTTGACAAATGGCTTTTTCTGATTCGGAAGTGTTATGTATGTGCTCCGTTTCTACGTGTGTTTAAGCATGTGGCAGCTAAGTGAACCCTCTCCCTGGCCAGTCATTCTAAGAGGGGGGTGTTTGGCCTAGAAATAGAATGGTAGCAAAGTTGAGAACGGAAGTATTGGAAGAAACCATGACTGTCTAAACGGTATCACGTTTCTGGGGTAGGCTCATGTGGCTGAAGACTCCCTGGTTTTCATTTTCAATGAATTTATCCAAGTTTCTCTGTAGGAAACAAGAAACTGCTTTAGTTAATCTCATTATGGAATTATTCATTTCAGCAGAACATTGTCAGTTTCAGTATAAATTGTTCTGCCCTCTGCTCTGCTATCTTCCTTGGGGGAAAATATTAGACTTGTCCTTTTCTGGGGTGGCCTTCATACAGGTTTTCAGAGTGACATCCCATTCCCAAAAGTTCATGCTCCTTCTCGCTTTTCAGTTGCTGTGAACTGGACTGGGAGGCCTTGAATAATCTACCTCGTTTTTGCAGCTGATTTCTTCTTCCCCACCTGGTGGGTGCTGCCCTCAATATTTGCGATCAAGCCAGCAGTTCTTCTCTTGGTTCTTACTTTCCTGCTTTAACCCCAGGAAAAAAATGTTAATTGGTGGTGGAAGCGTTTTACTTGTGGGCGCTGCAGAATTTAGTTCAAGCCCTTCTCCTGTTGAGACACCTCTCAATCGTAGTGTATTTAATTATTCCAAGCAGATTTTTATAAAGATTCCACGATACAAGCCAGAGATTTTCCCTGGAGCCTAAATTTTATGTGCTGGAACTCTCAAGCATATAAATAGGAGAGAGATAACTGAGGAGGAAGGAGGAAGTTTCCTTTCTACTGCTTCTTTTTTTAAATAAGACAGAATAAACTTGGTTGTACTTTCATCCCTTCTTAATCCTTTATCTTGGCAATTCAGAACTTGTCCAGATAAGGAACGGCTGAACTATTAACTAATGCCCCATTTTAGATGGAGTTTGCTCAGTTCTTTTCAGTTTGAGTGGATTCCCTCCATGCAGATGATGGCATTTTAAGCATAGGCTTGTCTCCCCCAGCAAGGACAGTGCAGGTTGGGGACTTCAGTTCTCAGAACTCCCTAGCCATCATGGTAGTTACAGAGAATTCTGGGAATTAAAGTTTGCATGTCTGGAGGGGGCCAGGATTGGAGAGAGCTGTTATAGGGCATATCCTGGCCTCAGAGGATGGGCTGTTGCCTGGGAGGCTCGAGTGGGAGGTGTCTAGAAAATCAGCTTTCATGGAGAAATTAGCTTTGTGAGCACATTAAAAGGAGCGCAGAAGGAATTTGCATGCTGTTATGAGGAGAGAGTAGCCATGGCAGCTAAACTGGGTCAGTGTTTTACTACAGTCCATGTTCCACAAGACTCAAGGGCTTCTGTTTTCTATAAATTTACACCTTGGTTTAGCAGTTGGTCTGAGGTTCTAGCAATGGCAACAAAACTTCACAAGATGTATTCTTGTTCTCTTTTCCCATATCATGCTATGTTTTTAATAAAACAAGATGCAAGACTCCGGGGGATATCTTTTAAGAACTTATTTATACTGTCAGGGAAAGAAAATACTTCTCCGTGATCTTGAGTAGGACTCCTGTGCCGCTGATCAGAAGAAATGCCTTTAAATCTTTACAAGAAGATTCTAGTGTTTCAGATGGCAAGGGGCAGTTCTAAAACGGCTTCCAATTCTTCCAAGTCAGACAACGAAACAAAACCAGGGCAGAAAGGGTTGTAAAGTAAAATATTGCCCAGTAAACTCTCCCAACATGTCTGCTGTACTTTCTCTCTGCCCTGGCTTTGTCATGTTCATGGAGTCCCAGATGGATGCTTAAAGTAAGCAATTTTCAAAGCCTATCCAAAAGATAAAGCATTCAGAAATAAGCAGAATATACACTGGATACTTCCTAGGGTTAGGGTCAATTTTTTGAAGATATATTGCTTTTAAAAAAAATGAGTTGAAACTGCTAAGAGATCTAAGCTGGGTGTTCTGGATTTTTGTAACAAAACACATTAAGTATTAAGCATCAGCAAGGAGAGTTGAGAACTGCTTACTGGATCAGATTGTTGTCCGATAAATTCGGCCTAGTATTTCTAGCAAAATGGTTCACTGTTTATAAGCATCCTAAAAGAGATGGTGGCCATCTATCTGTGTCTATCTTTGCCATCTGATATGCAGAAATGTGGCTTTGGCAGTATACACATTCTTTCTAGCATGCTGGACCTGCCCTCTGCAACTTATCTTAAAACCCCAACGTTTCTCACATGTACCAAGCATACCTTAATTTCAAAACTGTTTGCTTTTACATTTTATTTTTTCAAGAAAAATAAGACAAAAACTCCAGGATCTAATGGAGCTTCACTTTTTTAGTATCAGCTACAAACAGACTATGAACCAATCACACACACTTCCACCTGCCTTTCACAAAACTCTGAACAAATGCCTTCTCAGAATTACGGGGAATCAGTCTCTGCTAGTTTGGGGGGAAGTAGAAAGATGCATTATTGGGTTTTAAAAGCTGTTGAGAAAAAGGGTGGATAGTAGCGGAAGGTGGATTTGGGTCTAAAAGAGCATGGGAGAGAAACAGGTGGAGAGAGAAATCCAAGAGGGGACATAACTATTCTATAATGAGGGCAAAACAGAGAATTTCTGTGTCTTCAGGTATGCAGTACAGTGAAACAAACACGCAGGAGTAACAAGGAAGCAGGCTATAAAGTTGTGTGCGCACCATGGTGAAAATAAAATTTAGACAGCCCCTTTTAGCCTGAGAAATTCATGTGTGAAATCTGCTTTCTGAGCGTGCTACGGATGCTTGCGCCTACCCTTAGCACACTCCCCACAGTAATCGTGAAGTAGCCTGTGGCATCTTTTGATGCAACGTGAACCACACATCTGAAGCCACAACTTCCCACATGCATACAGTTACCCTGGAACAGTTGGAAAGCAAGCTCTGCTTTTCATTTGGATTGCCCATGATTACACCAATTCGCAAAATTATTTTTCTGCTTCTACAACTCTTTAAACATAAATGCCGCCTACTCTTTCCTGGAATTTGTATTTAAGCGATCCCACTGGCAGATTTCACCAATTGTCACATCAGACTCAGCTTTTCCTTTGTAACAACCAGAAACTTTTTCTTAAACTAGATACAGCTCGTGCCTGATGGGATATGATGTGCTCAGCTCATGCATATTAAACCTCCAATTTCGATGGCCACAGGTTGGCTGTGCAAGGCAGCTGCAATGTATGCCATGTATAATGTACAATGCAGATACCACAAGTTTATAAACCCTTGGATTACAGGTATGCTGAGTTCTACGTTCTGACACAAGCATGCACCAGTTGAGCATAAAACAGAACTATATATAGCCAGACAGAGGTTTTTCCTTTGTGCAAAGCACATACGAATTCTGCTCTTCCTACAACGAGGTTTGGGTGCAGGCATTCACTTCCCTAAATGTGGTTGGTGTCTGAATCTCAATGGTGGTTTTGTTCCGTTGGCACAGAACTGACGTGGACAATGGAGTGGTAGGATCATGTTGTTTCGTGAGACTGGGAGAACCAGAAGGTTAAATTAAGCCAAACAAATCACAAAGATGTACAAGTCCGCGTAACTTAAAAGAGGTGGTAGAATATGCCATCTGTTACTGCAGAAACAGGGTTACTAGAACAGTTTTCAGCACGGTATACACAACTTGGCCTCTGAAGGGGAGCCTTTCATTTGGCATTGCCATCAAAGCTGAGAACTGAGACGTTACGGGTGGCTGAGGGTCACTGTGCAACCCCCACCTCCTCCATAACATTCCATTATTTACAACAGTCCCACAGCTACCAAGTTTTCAAATTACCCAAGTTTCTCCCTGGGCCCTATTAGTGTCCAGAGTCCTGCCTTAGGGCCTGTCTCCACTGCTGTGGCTCTTGGTCTGGGCTAAGTCATCGCCTGCTTCCCCGTCCTCGTGCACCCGTTGGTGCAGGGTGAGGTTGCGGAGCTGTCGGAAACTCTTGCTGCAGCGCATGCACGGATAAGAGCGCCCCGCTGCGGTGGCCGCGTGGATCTGTTGATGAGCGGCCAGTTTGGAGGGATAGCAAAAGCTCTTCCCGCAGCGGCTGCACGGGTACGGCCGCTGCCCCGTGTGCGTGCGGCGGTGGGCTGCCAACTTGGAAGGGTAGCAGAAGCTCTTGGGACAATCAGCACATTTGTACGGGCGCTCCGGCGTGTGGATCCACTGGTGGGCGGCCAGCTTGGAGCGATGTCCAAACCGCTTGGGGCACAGGGAACAGGGGAAGGGGCGTTCCCCGGTGTGTGTGCGGCGGTGGGCGGCCAGCTTGGATGGGTAGCTAAAACTCTTGGGGCAGTCAGGACATTTGTACGGGCGCTCGGCGCAATGAGTCCATTGGTGGGTGGCCAGCTTGGAGCGGTACACGAAGCGCTTCCCGCAGTCTTTACATTGATAGGGACGATCTGAAGGTAGGACAGCAGGAGGCCGCCGGCGGCGGGGACGAGGTGGCTTGGGAGACTCCGTGGCGGGTGGAGAAGACAGAGCCGAGGGGGAAGGTGACTTGGCGTTCTCTTTCAAGGCTTGAGAATCTGGAAGGAAAGGAGAAAAATTTTAAAAATAGAGCACTCCCTACCAGGCACCCTGTTTTCCTGCCTCAGGTTCATTCCCTTGTCTACCAATTATTTTGCCCCCTCACCTACAGGTAGTCCTCGCTTAATGACCACTTGTTTAGCAACCGATCAAAGTTATGACGGTGCTAAACAAGGGTGACTTACGAGTCCTCATAGTTGCAGTTGTCTGTGGTCGTGATTCACGTGCTTGGCAACCAGCTAGCAATTATGATGTCGCAGTGTCCTGTGGTCCCGTAATTGAAATTTGGGTGCTTTGCAACTGGCAGGTGTTTATGACCATCACAGCACCCTGTGATTGTCATTTGTGCCCTTCGTTGCTGGCTTCTGACAAGCAAAGTCAATGGGGAAGCTGGCAGGAGATCGCAAATGGTGATCGCAGGATGCTGTGACCCCACAGGATTCGCCTAACGATGGCAACTGGGACTGCTGGAACTGCCATTATAAGTCAGTGTAGTCATGTGATGTCACACTTTTATGACTGTGTCGCTTAGCTTAGTGAGAGTTCCTGGTCCCAGTTACCATCGGTATCTGAGGACTACCTGTATTTGACATTACCTCTAGACACAGATTAAATAGAGGGAATTATTTTTTAAAAATTTATTTATTTATTTATTATTTTATCTAAAGAATGCCCAAGGGTTGATTATGATCTTGGATTTGTATTGTTTGGAGAAACTTAATTGTTTATATTATTTCTCCAAGCAACAAAAGACCCGGATTCCTACCCCAAACCTTCCTTACCTGCAACACTACTACTCAGTGTGTTGTTGCCCACTCCGTTCTTGCTGTTGCTCATGCAGGGCTGTTCCCCCCTTTCCAGCATGAGGACAAGGGTTGGTCGAGTGAGAATATAACCTGCAGAAATGGGGGGTGGGGGAGGAGAGAATAAGGTGGGGAGAGGGAATTGGAGGGGATTCAGGTTCAGTTTTAACCAGCTCTGTGCATCCTTTCAGAAAACAGATCTGCCCAGGACCAACCCTAAATATTACCTGATTAAACAAAACAGGCTTGTTTTTCTTATCTCATCCTGTTTTTGCTCATCAGGGAATGATGCATGCCTGAAAATCTATCTTGCTAAATATTAGAAATCCAGCAGAGGTACGGGTCATCCTTATTTAGCGACTGTCTCTTTTAGCAACCGTTTGCAGTTATGACAGTGATGAAGAAGTTACTTTGTGACCAATCCTCGCATTTACAACTTTGGCAGATCTTTAAAGCAAAGGAAAGCTGAAATAAGACTCTATGCAGAGTTGTGGTTTCACTTAATGACTGTTTCCCTTAACGACCAAGTTGCTGGTCCCAATGGTGGTCTCTAAACAAGGACTACCTGTACTCTTTAGCTTTGGAAAATAAAATACCCTTTATATACTTTTACAGCTCTTTACCAAAACCAGTCTTTCCATCAAATTGCTCAGCCTGCTGGATTTCCAACCAACCTTTCTCCCCTTGCTAAGAATAAGCAGTGCCACAGTCCAACGTGGCTGCGATGCTTCCCAACTGTGATCCAACCACTCTAAGTTCTTATCTCCCTGCTGGGGGGAAAGGCAGGGAGGAGGTGATGCTTTTTATTTTCTGTCAATGGGAATAATTTTAGTGGTAAAGACGATTTTGATCAGGAGAAAAGGCAAGGAGAAAAAATGGGCAGTCCTGCCCAAAGTTGCTTCCATTAAAAATGGACTCCCCTGCCCCTTTCTGAACCCAGACCTCCTACATCTATTTGGATGCCTTGTATTTAGCAGACAAAGGTGTTTTTTTTTTAATGTAATTTTACATATTCTATAAATATCTCCATATTTCCAGTTTAGACTAAATGAAACATTGGACCGTAGGGAAAAAACACAGTAAAACACACTCAATGGGGGAAATGTTAACACACAGATTTACAGCATTAGGCGAAAATAGTTTTTATTGAAATATGTTCTATCTATTCCAACATTTACCCTTGGAAGAAAAAAAAAAAAAAAAAGAAGGAAACCCAAACTTCCATAGTGTGATTTGGCCCCAAGGCAGGCTTATCAATAGCCCCTTCTTTGATCACCTATGGTGAATAAAACTGAGCTCCTGGTAGACTAATCCACTTTATTCCCTCTTTTTCCCCCTCCTGTGCCGTAAGTAACCATCTTGAGTGTGTATCAGCAGGCAAATTTTGCACACTTGTTTGCAAACCTAACCTTGGTTTGGTACGAAGGAGCTTGGCAGTGTATGGATTAGACCTCCATTAACTAGCAGTTTTTCAATAGCTTGGTTCCCTTAGGGGCTCTTCCTCTATCACAAGGCCCTGGGATCCAATTACGGCTTGATTCTGCTATTGCTCAACTTGGCATAAGTGTGGAGTTGCTATGGTAACATGTTCGGGATACAGGCCGGAGAGGAGAAACTGGTATATTGACAGAGAAATGAGATGTGCTACCAGAGTTCAGCCATGGGATTACGTGCTGCTCCAAGCCAAAGGGAGGAGGGGGGGGGGCAACAAAAAAAGAGGGGCCTGAACAACTGGAAAGGAAGGATTCTCTGGAGTTTGAGGGACCCCACTTTCCCAGGCAAAAATTCTGCATTAAAAAAATGTGTATTTTGACATCTGGATGAATTCTACACTGGTGTCCACATACAGAGGCCATGAGATTAGACTACAACTCCCAAAATGCCTTGCCAGTGGCCAGGCTGGTGGAGGCCAGAGGATGCTGAAGTCCAAAACATCTGGAAGCCTGCTCATGGACCGGATTGCTTGAGGTGTCCAGAGAAAACCCTTACCTTTGATTAAGCACGGAAAGGGCGGGGGGGGGGTGTTTTTTTTTTTTATGAGGTTTTACATATACTTCTTCCAACTTGGAAACTTCCAGATTTTGGAAATGCAGCTTCTAGCCAGTAACTGCAACATATCTAGAAATGCTAGGCTGGGGAAAACTGGCTTTAAGACACCAGATATTAGGCTGAGACTAGTTCATAGCGTATCTTCAGTTCTGCAGAAGTTTACTGAAATAATTAACTTCTGAATCTCTCTATGGCTGTCTTCACACAACACGGTCTCTTGCAGAGAGTGCAGAATACACCGATCCATAAGCTAAGGGTACATAACTTATATATGACTCATATAACTTGCTAAGATCAACATGAACTCAGGTTAGCGTTTGGTCAAAGGGAGCCACTAGGTCTTTCGCTGATCTGGTTAACCGTGTTGTGGGAACGCTGGCTGTCTCTTGGATGGTGGCTGGGGCTTTAAGGGGCAGTAATGCTGGTTTGCTTCTTGAGCTCCAAAGGTCTGTGCATACTCGTAATCCTCCAATGTTTCTGCACTACAATTCCCAGCATCCTTATTTGTTTATTGACATATAAGCCACCTTTCTGCCTATGTAACCCTCAAGGCAGCTCACGGCAGCCATGGAAGACTGAGGGAAGTTCAGAGGGTCAATTTGCCCCCTCCAAATGCTGTTTGGAATACACTTGTGGGAACCCAGCATGCACTGAACATCACAGGATTTACTTCTCAGCAAATCTGCAAGAAACTGGGATGGAGCATTGGGGGACACGGGCTGAATTCAGAAAAAAAGGGGGGTGTTTGTAAATAGAGATGGCCAGGGATATGGCTCCCCACCTCATTCAAGCGTTAATCCCCCTTCGCCTGCCTGGAAGGGTTGTTGTGCGCAAATTCTGGTGCATTCTGGTCAGCGGTCTCTATAGCAAACCACGACACCAAAAGGCAGACACAAGTACCGTATGTAAGTTGTGCTTTCGTGTGATGACATCGCCCGGGTTGCATCATCTGCCCACCTGCTGATGCCCACCATTCTGCTCCCCCCCAGCATCTTTTCACCCCTCCCAGAAGCTGCTATCAGGCGTAAGCCCTGCAAAACAGAGGCGTCCCAAGCCAGCGCCCCCGTGGCCAGGTTCACACAGCACGGCTCTCTACGCCAGCTTGCTGTGGTTACCTCGACCAATGCGAACCAGGGTTAGCTTCAAGCCCTGGGTTTGGTAGGCTGAGCATCTTCCTCTAGACCCTTCCTGGGCAGAACCCAGAACACGGATGGATTCGGTCCACCGGGTTCCGTGCATTGTATGAACGGCGCCGAGGCTTCCCCGGGTCTGGCGGGCTCCGCCGAAAGCCGCAGGCCGCCTTTCTTCCCCGCCTCCCCACGGCCTGAAATCGTGCCGGGGGGGATGCAGATCGGCCCCCGGCAGAAAGCGGATTTTGCTGCAATGCAACGGAGCCGCCGAAGCC